CAGTTTTTGTTATATCCCTATTACTTTTGGTTTCTTTTTTTGTTCTTTTTATAATTTATTGAAATAAGTACTACTATTTTTCCTTTTTTTAAAGCTTGCTATCTTTATGGCATTTCAGGGATATATAATACAGGGTAATTGAGAGGGTTTCTGGTATTACACTGTTTTTTTTCAGTCAGCATTTATATTTTGTGAACATGATAATTTTGTTCTTTTTTAAAACCAGCTTTACTGTATTATAATTTACATGCAGTAAATTTCATCAATTTTAAGTGTACAATCTTATGAGTTTTGACAAAGATATTCAGTCATGTAGCACCACCAGAATCAAGATACAGAAAATGTCCATCACCCCTAAAGTTCCCTTCTACTTCTTTGCAGGCAACCCTCACACTGCTTTCAACCTGTAACTCACTGCCCTTGCTGAATATCAGTATTATCTCCGCTTTCTGTTTCACTGCCTCGTATACCTTTCCTGCATCTTTATTTTGCATCTTTATCACTTTGCTTTAAGTGTCTTTCTTTTCCGTAATATGGGCCAGAATTTAATTTATAACAAAATCTGACAGTCTTTTAATAGAAGAATTCTGTCCACTCATATTTACTGTAATGAGTGATGTATATGATTTATTAGTTCCATCTTACTTGGTTTTAAATGTTTAAACATTGTTGTGAACTCTTTTCCTTTGCTAGGAAAGGGAAAGAAGAGTTCCCCCTTGTTAATTTGGAGTTTGTCATTTTATTAATAGTTACCGTCCCTTGCCCTGCTCTCTTGGACACATGGCTGTTCTAGTATGTGAAACAACTATTTTACAGAACAACTATTTCCATCATACTCCACTTATCTTCTACTTCCTCCCCACCCTAATATATATGGTCTTAAATTACTTTCACTACCCTTCCCCCACCCTTCTCACTCTCCCTGCCTTAGGTCCTGGAACACTTACCTTCCCCTGATACCCACCAGCTGATTCCAGAGTTTCATTGCGATAACTTAATACTTATTAGAGTTTCCCTTACAGTGTGTTCTGTCTGTTCCAAGAGACCTTATTTAGCATTTATATTACATGTTATAAATATATAGAGCTATAGATAGAAAAATATAGACCATGGTTCATTGCTCCTCACTGCTTGCTTTCCTCTTCATCTTCCCCTATTTTGAAGTCTCTGCTCTGATCCATTTGTTGCTTCATTCGTGCGTTTTTTAATACTCACCTGAGGATGTTTTCATTAATTTTATATATATATTTTTTAATCCTCACCTGAAGATGTTTTTCCATTGCTTTTCAGAGAGAGTGGAAGGAAGAGAGAGACAGAAAGATCTACGTGGGAGAGACACATCGATTGGTTGCCTCCTGTACAAGCCCCAACCAGGGATTGAGCCTATCCAGGTATGTGCTCTGACTGGGAATCAGACCTGAAACCTTTTGGTGTATGGGGCGAGGCTCCAACCAACTTAGCCCCCCGCCCCAGGCCAGGGCTCATTAGAGTTTTAAAAGTATTTCTCAGATGAGATACTTGGTGCCTTTTGCAAATCTTTAATATCTTTCTTTCCTCCTTGGCTGGGTCTGGGTTACAGGCCTTTTCTTTCATTATTTCACGTTCAGTTTTGTGGCCTTTTAACTTCTAGGGTAGCAGGTAAGAAGAAAGAACTTTCTGCCTGAAAATGTGCTCTAAGATTTCCCATATCCTTAGAACTTAGGAATTTTAACCTGTATATGGCTAAGTGTGTGTCTTTTCCTATCTAGTCCAGTCTGGAACTTAAATCTTAGCTCAGGGAAATTTAATATATTATTTAATGATGACCTCTCCTCTCCTGTTCCTTTATTCACCAGGAACTCATAGAAATTGAGTTAAGTCTCCTGGGTCTGTTCCAGTCTCCCATCTTTAACCACATGATTTGCATCTCCATATTTTTGTTACATTTTGAGATGCTTCATCTTTAATTTTCTAGACCTGTTTTGGGGTTTTAACAGTGACATCCTCTCCTTTAATTTATCCATGGAAATTCTTAGTTCTGATACCACATTTTCTAGTTCAGGGAAATCTGTGTTTGAGCTTCACACATTTTTTCAGTCAGAGATTCATCTGTTTCCTCCAGCAGACCTCTGCCCTCTGTTTTGCCTGCATTTCCTAGACTCGAGGGCTGAGAAATTCAATCCTTCATTAGTTTTTTTGGAGAGTAGGGGAGACTCAGCAAAGCCATTGATTGTTCCTGGGAAGCAGGCTGTTTCTGGGACTTGTTGCCTTGCTCTTGGCTCTGAGGCTCTTTTCCAGAAATTTGTCCTCAAATTCTCTGCCAAGACCTCAGCAGAGCCCACTTAAAGTTCCCCACCTATAGCTGAGAGTGATCAGAGGGGGGGTGTAAGGGAGGTCTTCCTAGGGTGGCTGGATGCACAGAATCTCCTCTCTCTGACGAGTCTAAGTATCATTGAAAGATAAAGTGATAATCACCAGAAGACTTAAAAACAAGCCATTATTAGAAGGTCAGAACTCAAAGTTGCAAGAGATAAAAAAATCTTAGACTGACTAAGCAAAAAAGGAATTTATTAGCTTACATAACCAAAAAGTTCAGGAGGCAGATCTAGTTCTGGGCATGGCTGGATCCAAGGTTTCAAATGAAGTCATTAAGGCTTGGCCTCTCTCCATGTCCCTGATATGTTACCCTCCTTGTAGCCAAAACCATTTTGAAAGTTTAGATTCCACTTGACAGAGTGCAGCGCAAGACCCAAGACGGAGGAGCCTGGGTTGGATGGCTTCGGGGGGGCCCCTCCCCACCTATAAATAATTCGTTAAGAACTTCCTATCATTGAACCTTTGACCATCCCAAAGACCCTTCTTCTTTGCGTCTTGGGCTTATCCCTGTCCTCCCAGCTGGGGTCTCAGGAACAGGGGGGAAGCGGGGCCCCAAAAGGCCCTCGTGGCTCCCCCTAAGGACGCGCTCCTGGGAGTCTGCTTGGGACGCGCATTCCTCCTGCCTGTAAACAAACGCCGGTGGGACCAGGGAGGCCACTGGGGAAGCGCCCGGAGCTATGGAAAGGGAGAGGACTCCCAGGTATTTGGTAAAGAGACAACTAAACCAGCTGGGGGGATGTGGCAGGGGGCCCTCAGAGGGCGTCTGGGGGGCATCCCGCTGCCCAGACGCGGGGATCGGGTAGGAAGTTGCACAGACCCGGCGCGCAGTCATGAGCTCCTAGGCTAGGGCTGAGCCTCAGTGACAGGCCGGATAAGAAGGTAAGAAAAATCAAAGGGCTGCAGGCGAAAGACAAGGCAGAGGATCCAGGCTTCGGAGACTGGAAGGAAAAAGTCCTAGTCATACCCAGCTCCACACAGAGAGTCCTCTACGTTCTGCGAACTCTGGCCGCCGCAGCGCCCTGCTCAGCGCCATCCCCGGCTAGACTCCCGGGCGGGCCCGAAACCTCTGGACTTCATCTCCCAGCATGCCGCGGACCAGGCAGCGTCACGCCTGCGCAGAGGTGGTGGCGAGGCCGCACCACGCCACGAGGGGGCGCTCGGAGCTTGGTCCTGAATCGGCGGGAGGCAGCGGGTGCAGCAGAGCCCCGCGGGGAGAGCTGGTCTGGGTTGGGGACGTTTGCGGCCTCAGCTGCGGTTCCTGGCGGGCCCCAGGAGTCAAGCCCTCAGTTCTTCAGGCCGTGGGCACGTTGAGCCGTCTTCAGCACAGCAGCCTCAGAACCCCACATCCCGCTGCCAGTGGTTCCGCGCATCCGGTGCCCGCCCCCGCAGTCACAGTCCTCCCACACAGCCCCACTGCCTGCTCTTAACCTCGACCCTGGCCTCTTGTGGAGAGGCACAGGTTGGGGTCCTCAGATCCAAGAACCCCAGGGCATTTGGATGTGAGAGAGAGAGAGAGAGAGAGAGAGAGAGAGAGAGCGAGCGAGCGTGCAGGGGAGGTCCCCTTTCTTATTGGGACCACCAGGCCGGTCTCAGGCGCAGGCTTCCCTGCACTGGCTTCTCTGGGAGTCTAAGTGGGAAGGAGAGAAGTTTCTAAATAAAAGCCTCAGTTTCCTCTTTCTTCTATCCCTCTAACCTCATGCCTGTCAAGCCGCACCTGCCTCTACAGAGGCACTAAGGGGAGATGGCATAGACCACAGCTTGGGGGAGGGAGGGGTGCAGCACAGTTACAGAGTTCATGGAGAGAGTAGGTCAGGGGCTGGTGAGTTTGCAGACTCCAGGTGATGGGACTAGAGAGACTCTGAGTGTAAATTCTGAGGACGTTCTAGCAGCACACCAGCATCTGAGGAGCTGGGCTCTGGCCTCCACCCCTGGCACCCACCCCGGCAGTGCTGATGAGGCAGCTCCTCTTGGGCCCTTTTCCCCAGCTAGACTCCCCTGGGAAGTGCTCTGTGCAGACAGTAAAACTCACATTCCCATCATGTGTGGTCTATTGCAGGTTTGTAGCCCAGTAGGTAAAATCTAAACACTTTGAGAAATTTTATTTAAAAACTTGGGAACACAACAGAGGCATTAGGATGCAGACTGGTATTCTCCTGCCAGGGTTCTCAGATCTCAGATCAGAAGCCAGGCTTGGGTTCCTCAGGTTGCTTGGTTCCAGGACCACGCCCCACCCCCAGCTGTGGACTCCCTAGGGGTATACCCACCCAGGTCCTCTTAGGCTCTTACCCCCTCCCCCACTGCCCACTTCCTGTGTCTGAGGAGACACTAAGGTGTCAGGGGTACACTGTAAGAGAGCAATAGTGGGGAGGATCTGGTAAAACTCCGGAAGGAGGAGGAAGTGGAGAGGGGGCCACTGCCTCTGTTTCCTTCATCCTCAAGAAACCGGGGACCTGCTTTTCCCCTGAGATACCTCCCCCACAGGTCAGATAGGAGGTTTGAGGAACATCACCTCCTGTGACTGGGCACTGGCTGACTGTCTTTGGGGATTTGTTGGGAAATAGTCATGCCCCGGACCAGGGTAGCAGTAACCCCTGCAACAGACGAGGCTGGGGCGATGCATGCCTCACCGTGGGAGGCCCTACATCTCAGCTGGGTGCAGTCTGGCTGTTGGCATAGGCCTGGTCTGGGAAGGAAGCCCGGGCTCTGCGGGTCTGGGCACACACTGAGGCATAGAGCTCCGGTTCAGGACCTGAGGCTTGGGACTTTGGCTCAGAGTCCAGCACCACCTCCGAGTACTTGATGGGGGTTCCAGGACTCGGGATCCGGCCCTGAGGAGGCCGCAGCTGCAGGCTAGTATAGCACATCACCTCCTCTGCAGCCTGGAGATAGCAAGGCTGTTAGAAGTTCACTGGACCCTTGAAAAAGAGCCCCCCACTTCCTTCCTCCCCTCTTCCTCAGCCACAACTGACTCACCCTGGTGGGGCCTCCAGGTGTTGGATCCTGCTGGTCTGGCCCTGGTTCTTGAGACAGTCGTCCTGGGACAGGTAACAGGAAGTGACCATCACTTCTTGTTCCTCCTCTCACAGCCCTTCATCCCATCCACCCAGGACCTGACCTCTGCGCCTCTCCCCTCTACCAGCTTCCTACCTGTCTTCAGATAATGCAGGTTCCCATACAGGGGGACCTCTTCCACAGACCCTCCAGAACTGCAATACAAAGTTTAGGGGATAAGTGGGGACTTCTTGGTAAGGAGAAATTCTCAATGATCCCATTTCTGTTTTCCCCCACTCACTGTCCCTGTCCTGGATGGTTCCTGCTCCAGCCACTAGTCCATCGGGACAAGTGTGCAGCCAGTGAGATGAGAAGCAGCAGCATCACAGCCCCTAAGAGGGCCCACAATCCCCAGGCCTGGGTAAAGGAGGGGATTCCTGTGGATGTGAGAGAATAGAGGGGTGGGTGTTACTGCCCAGCCCAACCCTCCAGATCCCAGCAGATGGGACCGGGGGCCACGTGACCCCTCCCCCTGTCCCTGCCCCGCCCCGCTTACCGGGCACTAGCGTGTCTGGATCCGTGCAGTTGCCACCTCTGTTCATGACTGCTGATGAGTGTGCAGGCATCCTGCCCTGAGCCTAGGTCTAGGCTTCGTTTATGGTCTGACAGCTGCAGCAGCCCCCCTTACTCCCACCCCTCCCTGGGCCAGGCCCCCACAGCTCATCATCCTCAATACTGGTGATGGCAAAGTTGCTGGTTTCCGGGGAGGAAGGGGGAGGGGAGGGATGAGCAAAAGAACAGACACCGCCCAGTGCCTGCACCTGCGCCACCCAGCAGCTCCTAAACTTCCGCACCACCCCACCCCACACCCCCTCCCCTTTGCCCTGTACCCACTTTGGCCAAGAAGAGAGAGGCAAACTTGTGCCACTGTGTAGGTGAGCCCATGAAGACTCCAAGGAGGGCAGAAATGGCACGAGGCAGGACCCCCAAGACAAGGAAGCCAGGCTTTATGAGAGTCCCTTATGCCACAGGGTGCCTGATTTTGCTCTCCAAGTCTGAGAATGCGGTCCTCGATGAGCATGCTGTAAAGTGGGATGGGCCTGGGAGATCTCCCGGTATGTACCGTCTCACTGCACCTAAGGCTGATCCACAGTGAATGTTAAGATGACCGCTGCCGTTGTTATTACTGGTATAACAGTTTGGGGATAGAGAAAGCTAGATTACTCCCTCCTGACCCACTTCAAACTGTCCCTAAGAACTATCAATCTCAAAAGTGAGCTGAATTAAAGAAACCTCTGCCGCTGTAAAGAAATCCTGGGACACTGAACCTGTCTTTGCACTTGTTCACTACAGGGAATGGAGTACCTGCCATGCCCAGAGACAGCCCAATCAGTGGGAGGCCACTGATGTGGGAAGAGGGAGTTTAAGTTCCAAATCTGAACTATAGACCAGAGGTCAAAGATATGTTTTGTCTGGTCCATACAATATATTGTGTTTTGTGTGTGTGTTTTAATTTTAAATGATTGCAGTGGTGTGCCAAGGATGGGAATGGAAGGAGAAGTCCTGATCCTCCAGTTGCAGGCAATAAGAGGGTATCATCTGTAGAGAATTTTAAAATAAAACCAACTAAAAATCAGTCTCCTTTTTATTACCATGTTCCAGCAATTTTAAAAAATGTCAGTGATAAAGTACTCCTCTCTGAAAAATCTGTTGTAGATCTAAGTTCTAAATTGTTGTGGTAACTGATGAGCTTTCATAATATACAAGCTTCAAATTAGCACATTTGTATTACTTATCCTTTAAAAAAACGTTGTAATCTACATGGAAGTTAATCTAGAGAACTCCCAATTATACAATTGGCCACTGACATAAGCAGATTCATCTAAGTGTGTTTATATCTAGAATTAGTTCTTAACATTTTGGAGTTGTTCAAGTTCTCTTTGGATACGATCTCTGTCTTCAACTCCTATGATAGTACATATTCCCATATTTAACCCATGGATTTATAATAAACGAGGATAGCACAATGATTATAAAGTCAAAGAAATTAAACTTGAATTACTTTATGTCATTCTAGGTGACCTCAGAGTTTTTATATTGAAAATTTCTGGAATTTATTGTGAAATGAAATTTTTATAAGTCTTTGCCAAACATCCTTATGGTTAAGACTTTTCCTATTTGTATGTCTGTTGCTTAATATGAAAGACACTTTTTATTGATTTTTAGAGAGAGGGAGAGAGGGAGGAAAGGAGAGAGGAAGGGAAGGAGGAAGAGAGACAGAGACAGAGAAACATCATGTGAGCTGCCTCCTGAACTACCTTAATTATAGTTAACTGTTGGGTCATTTTGAAAATATTAATTTAATTCAACAAGGATTCCTTGAGTGCTTGATAGAGCCAGCTAGGCTATAAGAATAAAATCTTAACGAAAAAGAGATATGGCCTCCGCTTTCGTGGCATTTAGTCTAGCGGTAGTTAATTGACTAATTGATTTTTAATGAATTGATTTTAATGAATCAAAATGGATTTTTCCAGCTTTATTGTGATATAATTGATGTGGTACAATAGCTGCAGTCATTAATAAACTTAAAGTTTATTCTGAATGAAGGGTTTGAACTGAGATCTTAACGTTGTGTATTGTGTGGACGTTAGCTGTTTCAAAAGGGGAATGGCCTGGTTCACAGCAGCTCACGTTAAAAACATCAGCGGAGAAAGAATGATACAAACTGAGCCGGTTGGCTGCTTTCCAAAATGCAGCCGCGCTGAGAATGAGCCCCGTGAGGTTGGTGCGCGGGGGCGCACTGCCTGCGTAACTAGACAAGCTGACGGACGACGCCCGGCCAACACGCCGCTCCGCTCCCCCGCTGGGGCGGGTTCGCTTCTTGGCGGGCTTAAGAGCAAGAGGCAGGGAAGTCTACGCGCACGCGCGCGCGGCACTCTCTGCCGGCGGGTCCGGGGACTTTCCCCTAGGCGCAAATAAGGAACTAGGTCCTCCGTCTGTAGCCTAGGTAACAGGCCTTCAGCACGAACTGTAGTGGAAAACTTTGTTACTCCGACCTTTTATACCTCCATCAGCAAATTTATCTTTTGTTTAGGGCGAGAAGATTGGTGGTTTAAGAAATAAAAATTACTTTCTGGCATAATCTCCTAAGACTTCTGGAGGCATTCTTGCTAATATAGAATACCTAAGTAGATAAGAAATGAAGTAATATAGGAAAGCTGGGCCAATAGTCCTATGCAAATCTACATGCCCCGCCCACACAGTGAGGTGGGTGTGGTTTTCTGGGAGGGCAGAACCAGACCCGCACACCTACGCATGAGCACTGGCGCGCCCTGCGGCCTCCGGCGGCGCCGGGCCTTAGTCTGTCGGCCCACAATGGCGAGCGCGGCCTCGCCCGCTGGTGTACTGGGGTTGCTACTTATGTCTGCGCTGCCCGGGGTCCTCGGAGACCACCCCAGCCTCGACCTCCGGGCACACCCAGGTACCAGCGAGGGCTGCTGGGGGGAGGCTGGGACTGCCCAGGGGTCCCAGGTCGCAGCTCTGTTGACCCTCCTCTGCCCTCCTCCGCAGGGGACCCCACCCAAGTCGGCCCTAAGGCCACGGAACCCCGGCGGCGGGCGCCGCCCAAGGACCAGCACGAGCCGGCTCAGGCGTTGCCTTTGGGGGCGCTGTACACGGCGGCTGTGGTGGCTTTTGTGCTATATAAGTGCTTGCAGGTGCGGGAAGGCCAGGGGTGGGGAAGCCCCGGGCCTGAATTTCCCATGGGGGCGTTATGGTGCCAAGAACCGGAGACATCTTCCGGTCTGTGAAACGAACAGCAGTTCCTTGGCTTCCCGACATTATGGAGTTATTTTGAGCATCCATTGCCTCCAGCGAGGTAATGGCTGTGAAGGGCGCGTAATCAGTTGTAAATAATGAGCATCACGTTTAGTCCTCCCAACAAGCCAATGAAGTGATTGACTCAAGGTCAGAGCTAGTAACTGGTGGAGCTGGGATTTGAACCCAGGAAGTGTGGAGTTCCAGTGAGATTCCTACCTTGGCACAAGAGGTTGATTACTGTAGTCAGTGTTTTTTGAGTTCATGGTACCAAGCAGGCTCATGTTCTTGGGAAGGAGGCCCTGAAATATGAACTGACAGTACATGTTGGTGGACTGAAACTGTTGAAATGGAAAGTAGTACCTCCCAGGGCTGTATCTGCAGCCCTGGCCCTGTCACTCAGTTGCACTGGGAAATAGAGGGCTGAACCAATTTGGAGATTATGTAAAACTAGAAGGGATAGCTGATCATGACCCCAAATAGACTTGACGGGCTAGGATAAAGGACTGAATTTAATGATGAAGTTTAACAAGGATAGATAAATTCTATTCTTGGACATAACAGCAGCAGTTTATTAGTTGGCTAATAAAGTTCATTTGTGTGATGTGACAACCCACCTCCCAAATAAGTATTGTGCTTTATCTTCTGATCAGAACACTCCTGGAGAATTTTATTCTCTTCATGGCACTGCTTTAAGAGCACAAGCTCAGTAAAGCAACCATTGAAAGTCGTGTCAAATGAGCACTGACTGAAAAAGATTGATGATATTAAACCAGAGAAGACATGGGGAAGGGGTGAGGAGGGGGGAATGACCATTGTTTTCAAATTCCTGAGTGGCTGTCATGTTGAAAATACATGATTTTGGAAGGCTCTAATCAGCACAATGAAAAAAAGATACATGGACAATTTTGGGCTTTGTATATAAACTACCAGCCAGAGCTTTATCAAACTGGAGGGAGCTGCTCTTTCCCTGGAGGCGTTACTGTAGACTGAATGACCGCTTGTGAGGATGCACTGACAGGCTGCTTCATGTCCTGAGTGAGGAGCTGGGCTAGATGTGATTGTGATTCTCTGAGGTAAAAATCCAGTAGTTTTCTCTACCTCAAATTCTCCTCCTCCTCTTCCGCCTCCTCTTACTGGCTTTGGAGACAAGTGATGGGGAACCTTGTTGCTGCAGTATCACCCTTTCCTTCTTCTGTAGCAGGGGAAAGATGAGGCTGCCATTCTCCAAGAGGAGGCAGGCAAGAAGGAATCATTGCAGTCAGGTGGGTTTTGCAGAAGTCTGTACTTGGTGGGGAGTTAGGGGACAGCAGAAGGTAAGTAACCCTTGCTCTCCTTTTCTCCCTCGCCTCCAGAGCACCAGCTTGCCCAGTTGACACAACAGCTGGCCCAGACAGAACAACACCTGAACAATCTGATGGCCCAGCTGGACCCCCTTTTTGAGCGGTAAGGAGAGCAATGTGTGGCAGGTGAGAAGTGGGGACATAGATTGGGCAGCTTCTGAGTGGACATATCCACAGTGTGACTACCCTGGCTGGAGCACAGCAGGAGCTTCTGAACATGAAGTTACACACCATCCACCAGCTGCTACAAAAGAATATGCCAAACAAGGGCTTGGAGGTTCCAGAACCAGGTAACAGGCTGGGGATGAGAGTCTGGTGGAGGTAGAAACAAAGTATCTGAAACCGGAACATGCCTGATCTTCCCCTCACAGAGGCCAGCATACCGTTTCCTGAGGACTTGTGTATAAAGGAGGAAGATGAGGAGGCTGGTGGCTGTCAGGCTGGGGAAGAGCCCCTAAACTGGAGCACAGAGACAAGGAACCCAGCTCCTCCTTGGGGAGTGGAGCAGGGGCTAAGGAGAAGATGCAGCAAAGGACCCCAGTCACAGCCCCCTCTGGGAAGGAGGGACAACAGCTGAAGGTTTAGTAAAACAAATTCTGTTCTTGTGACTGGATGCTCCTGCGTGCTTTTTCATTCCAGCTGGTCACACACACCCATACTAGGTGCCTAAGAACAACTGGCCCTTCTTGAAAAGCTTTCCTTATTAGGACAAAAAGATGCTGCCTCCCAGTGTGAGAGCTGAGAAGATAGAGGGAGCTCTGGTTCTTTTCCTTGTATTCCTGAGGCGACTATCATGCCTTCTGGGCACAGAAATCCCTTTTCTCATATCACATAGCTGAGACAGAAAGACCTTTCCAAAAAAGCAAACAAAAAAAAACCTTTACTTAAATCCAGTGGGAAAATAAACTATAAAAATAGCCAAGTTTGCAAAGCCACAGCCTTGAACAACAGGCCATTGACACAGCACCAAACTTATCAGCCCCAAACCCCTCTATCTGTGCTAGAGGGGCTGGTCCAGCAGAAGTTCAAATGGGTCAGACTTGGTTTCCTGATTCTTAATTAAGAGCTGGTCAAATAACCCAGTCCCAAGCAAACATAAAATGACCCTTCTCAAACCATGAAGGACTGTGTTTTGCTTAGTACTCTTGACCCTGACCTATCCCTGAAGTATCCTGGGTTCTGGAATTTGTAAGATTCTTCTAGTTCTTCTGGCTGCTGTGGAGAGAAGATAGTCCGTTCAGGCATTGGCACTCTATTCAGACAAAAATCACCTACAGGGTAGGGGTGGGGTTAGGGAGGTGTCCCAGACAGACGTGGGACATAAGATAGGATCAGAACTGTTCATCTCCAGCTCCTAGGCCTCATCAAACACTCTTACCAAGGAAACAACTTACCTGATGGCCAAAGTTAGACTGTGATACCAGTGCAACAGTTCCTCTTGGTCTGTGGACATAAGCAGTAGCTTCTCCTGGGGAAATGACAGCTAGGGAGAGACCACCTCTTAGTGCATGGCTCAGAAAAGTCCAGGCTAAAGCTGAAGGCCTTGCTGCTCCCATGGGTGTCATTCAGGACTGAGTTGAGAACTAAGTATGAACCCCAAAGACTCAGTTATCCTCTCTCAATGTACATGGCTCATTTCCTCTGAAAGGGGCCCAGGCCAAGGAGATAAACAGCTACATGTTGGGCCTCTCCTACCTTACCTAGGATTCGCATCTTATTACTTACACTGAGCAGTCCACCACAAGGGCCTCCCGAATGACCAAAGACCCTGTGGAGTTGACACTGGTCCATGGGGTAGAGGGCCCGGCAGACAAAGGTGCCACTCTGCAGCAGGTGCAATGGGGGTCGAGGCTTGGCCATGAGAAGCACATCAGAGAACAGGAAGAACATGCGGGGCCGAGGTTCCCCACGGGGAGGCACCACCAACAGCCAGCCCTGGCGTAGGAACCAGCGACCTGGGGGATGAGAGAGCTGTTATTCTGATGCAGCTCCAGAACCAAGATCCATGGAAATAGAAGGAAAGGGAGGCTGAGGAAACAGGGTCTGTGCTGACAATATAGAAGAGGGGTGAGGGGGAAGTACGCAGACTACCTGAGGTAAGCCCCTTTGCCTGGCGTCCACTGAGAAGAGCCTGGACCCGCCGGAGGTGCTGGTCATTCTTCTGTTGCTGACCAATGGTGTGGACTCTCTGGGCGGTCTCACTTATCAGCCGAGCAGACCCTGGAATAACATCCCCAACCCCATTCCCAGCACATCTTTGACTTTGGGTACTGGCGGTGGAGAAAGAAAGGCTATTCCTGAGGGGACCAGGGTTAGGGTCTAACTTCTTGAAGAGTAGGCAGGACAATAGAGACATCATGTACATGTTGAAGGTAGGGTCATACCAGACATTATTGGAGGTCACAACCGGGAAGGGATACAAGAAAGGCAGCCTTCTGCCTGAGTTTTGGCAGAGTAAGAACATACGTGTGAGCTGTGGGTGGTCAGGGCTGTTGGGACTTGTGTTTTCAGCCAAAGCGACAACAAGATTCTCATACCTAGAATTAGACAGTTGGAAGTCTATGAGGGGAAGTAGAGCTGGGGAAAATTCCCTCCGCCTGACACACACATAACCCCCTACACATACTTCCATTGCAAAGCCAGGAAAAATCAGCTTCTGGCTATTGTATCCCTCTTTCAAAACCTGAGCTGACACCACATGGCCCCTTCCCATCCCACACTGAAGAGTCAGGGGTAGATGCTTCAGAAATTCTAAGCCGGACCAGCCTCTCATCTCAGCAAACTCTTCCAAATACCACGTCACTGGCCCTATTACAAGCCTCACTTCAATGTAGAGTTCCACAGTCCCAGCTAAGGGCCTGAGGCTGCAGACTCCAGGTACTCCAGTAGGTTCACATTTACTCTTGCCAACGGATTTTAGGAGCAATTTGTCCCAAGAGAGAGGCATTGGGACAGACTCCACAAAGCTGAGGGACTCAGAAAAGAGAAGTTGGCTGAGTCAGGGTGAGTTCACTCACTGCTGAAGCCTCTGCAGAGGCAAAGGGAGCAGGTCCTGCAGCTGAAGGCCCCCAAACTCAGGGCGGCCTTCCTGAAGCCTCACAAACCTCCGGAAACGTTTGCTTTTCTTTAGTTGTTCCTGGTGTGAGGAGAAAGGGGGGGCAGCAGAGGGAGAAGGCACTCCTTACATTGTATTCACCTGTGTACACATCCCCAGCCCTCAGTAAGCTGTGTGCTCCTGAGAGAACCCCTGTCTCCCTACAGGGAACTTAGCAAAGAACTGGGCACCTGAAGTGCTCTGTAAATGCAAAATGGTATCAATGAGGTTTGGGTCTCCAGATGAAGAGGAAATGTATGGGGCAAGAGGAAGGACTTGAGGTCATTTTCAAGTTACCTGCAGGGTGGTCCGGGACCTCTCTGCATTGGCAGCAAATTGGGTGTAGAGCTGCAGGTGGGGGCAGAAGCCCTCCAGCCCCTGTCCCCAGTGCCCTTCTTCCAGATAGGGAAGCAGCTCTCTGCGTGAGTGAGGACAATCAAAGAGCTGCCAAAGAAATGCTCAAGCACCACATTTAATTCTTTCAACTCTGCCCCATAGGTAGTGCTGTTACCCCATTTTACAGATGGTGAACTGGGGCACTGGGCCAAGACCACAGGTGAGGTCATTGGCTGACTCCGAGTTCCGCGCACTGCCCGAAGCCAGGGCTCTCCCTCCTTCCCTCTCCCCACGCCCCTTCCACTCACTGGCTGGCAACGTAAATGTGCTCCCAGGGCCCAAAGAGGGCCTGGCGCTCTGCTGGTCGCAGGGTGCCCTTGGCTCTCAGAATCCCCACGAAGTACTGCGGGAGGAGAGAACACCTGTGTACAGTCTGCAGGCCGAGGCCGACGCCAAGGCGTAGCTAGAACCTGTAGAAGTCTGCCCAGCCCCCCATGCAGCACCGGGCAGACCCCCGTACTCGGGATCACCGACCTCAAGGAGACCCTCCCACACCCTGGGGTCCCTGCCCCGTACGAGACAGCGTGCAGGGTCCCCACCGTGGCCACCAGCCCCAGCTGTTCCTGGTAGCGCCGCTCGGTCTCCAGCAGCTCCCGGGCGGTGCAGGCGCGTTTGCGCTCCCAGCGGTCACGCTGCTCTCGCACCGGGCACCGAGCCCTGGGGCCCGGGGTCTCCATGCCTAGCTGACCGGTCGACACTTCCGGCCACAGCCCGCCGGAGATTCAAATGCTAACCGCTCCGGGGGCGGGGCAGCGAGAGGGGCGCGCCCCCTGGCGCCGGGAGGCTGCGCGGGACCGAGC